CTAACACAAAGCCAACTTTATAATAAAATGTTGACCATCACATATAATTTATTAAATACTGTACTAACAGTGAAAAAATGATTTTATGGATGCTTGAAGTACAGTTTGTATGGAATGCTTTCTCACCCTGGTAAAGCTGAAAAATCTTATGTCAAATTATCATAAGTCATGAACCATCTATCTGTATTGTATATTCTTTTGTAGAGTTGTCTTTTTGCTTCCTGAAAATTTCTAAATTTGTTTTTTTAATATATGAATCGATAAATCTCTTGTTGGAGTTACATTATATAATTTCCTAAAATTAACTAGGCACAGAAATTTAGAAATGTTAACTAAGTAAAAACTGCAAAGAGATTATACTTAAATCATGACATGCTATTATTACATGTTACCAATGTAATATTATTTTTCTTCTTTTCTCTCATAAAATGAAGATCTCTGTACTGACAACATTATTTTAATGTAATTCTTTGTCAATACAGATCATAATAGATTGAGTCTTAAAACATTTATCCGGGTTTTCTGTTTATTTTGTTTTGGCCTTTTTTGTTAGGCACATTGCCACTTAGCTCAGAGTTACCACTTCCAAAAGTGGTTAAATAAAAGTAATAGGTTATCTGAATTGCTTCTCCCACCCTATATCTTATTAGAATATCATGTAACTAATCCCACATTATTTCCTAAAATATGCAGATTTATAAATTCAAATGGAGCAAATGCCAACTCTGAGGAATAAATTTAAATATTGAGATTATATTAACATTCCATAACATACATAAAAGACTAATCACCACACAGGTTCCTAAGAAGAAAAACAGAATATTCTCTGTTCTAATTCTAACTTTCCCTTCTTGGAAACTTTGTCACAAAACAAAAGAAGGAATAGTTTCAATCTCATCTTTTATTACTGTCCAGGAAATAGTTCAAAGGTATATCTACTGGATGGCATGATATCATTGCCATTCTTGTTTTTAATAAAAAATAAATATTCCCCTTAACTACTTCAGCAATGATCTCAGCTGGAAAGGCTCCCAGAAAGCTTTGATCCTACTCTTGAAAGAATTCTCCAACATTGTAATATGTACACTGAACTACATTTAATTGAACCTCAGTTTTTACCCAAGTACCATTATAGCCCTTATTAAATATTATATGCCTTGATATTCATCTTGAAGTGAAAGTTATTCTTGTTATTTAATCTGTTTATTTCAAATGACAATATATAGAGAAATGCTTTGGAAACTAAAAAG